CGATTTAAATCTAATTTTGAGCACTTTTTTCTTACATGGGTACGAACATAATATCAACTGTTGGTTGATCAATAGAAGTTTTGCTCAAGTGCTCCCTTATCTAATATTTATTTGCACTCAGTATCCATTTCAACCAAACAAAGATATACTCAAATGTTGGCATTAGTTTACAATAGTAAGCGAATTCTTTTTACAAAGCATTTATTTTTTAAATAAAAGTCATTTAAATTAGTATATATAGATATATTTTTAATTTGAGAATGGTTTTATATATAATAAAAGAAAAATTTATTGATTTCTTTGTTTTTTACTCTACTTGTGCTTTATTACTATAACAATTGGAATAATATTAAATCTTCCGTTTTCCATTGTAGCATTATCAATCAACTATAAAAGAATAGGTGTCAAATGTAGAAGTACAAGATCTCATCAATGGCATTTTCTGTATTCTATCAACGCTTTCCGTAAATGTATCCTTTCTTCGATGTTACTTATCTAGATCTGATACGAGATAGATATGACTAGTGCTATTGATTGATATCGCTATTCTTTAGCAAATACATATTATAACCATCACCCTGTCTTCGATATTATGTTCGTACCCATGTAAGAAAAAAGTGCTCAAAATTAGATTTAAATCGATTATTTTTTGATTAAGAATCTATTATAATGGCACTCTTATAATCTGATTTTAACCAGATTTTTCAACCTTAAAGATAGAATTTTTTTTATCTTAATCTATTGTGATCTATTAACAAATTTTAATCCATTAAAATGGGTTTAAATAATCAGTTTTAATGGATAAGGTTTGTTAATCAATTAAAATCGATTAAAAAAAAGATTAAAATCAAAAGAAATCTGTTATTAAGGCTGAAAAATTCGGTTAAAATCAGATTATAATCTGATTTTTAGCCAGTTTCTTTTTTACATGGGTATTCTTTTTTTTTCTTTCACTTTTATATAGTAAGTCAGTTACGAATATTTATTATTTTTGAATGACAAGTATATGAGAGAACTCTTCGAAACGTCGGAAAAATTAAACTGAAAATTGAAAAATCAACACATCTTTAAAAGAAGTAGTACAGTGTCTTTATCATAGTTCGCTACAGCAATTTCCATCCAATCGTCATTGGTAAAACTTCCAACAGCAACCTTACTCGGGTGACCACCATACCCTACTGAATATGTCGTTTGCTTTTTAAAAGTTCCGTTGCCATATCCTTGAAATACACCAATATTGTTACTGCCGAAATTTGCGACAGCGATATCTAACCATTGATCGCTATTGAAGTCACTTATGGCAATCGACATAGGACGTGACCCTTTTTCAGTTGAGTACGTCGTTAATGCTGCAAAACTTCCATTATGATATCCAAGAAAAATACCGATATTGTCAGTCCCAGAATTGGCAACTACAATATCTAATAAAGTATCGTTGTTAACATCACCCAAGGCTATTGCTAATGGTTGAGATCCATTCCCTGTTGAATAGATTGTCATGTTTTCAAAACTTCCATTACCATGTCCAAGAAGTATACCTATATTGTCAGTACCATAATTAGCAATGGCTATATCTAAGCATTTGTCGTTGTTGAAATCACCAACAGCAATAGAAGATGGCTTAGACCCTTCATAACTTAACAAAGTCGTTTGACTACCAAAATGCTTTTTACCAGTTTCCAGTAATACCCATAAATTGGTTTCACTTTCCTCGACAAAGACTAAATCCAGTCTAGTATCAGAGTTAAAATCACCAACAAGAATCCAGTTCGGAATAAGACCAACATCGTTTACATATAGGGTGATGCTCATAAAATATCCATTGCCATATCCAAAAAGGATGCCTACGCGGCCAGTAAAGATATTGGCTACAGCAATATCGAGATGATTGTCGTTGTTGAAATCACCGAAGTTGACATGTTTTGTACCTGAGTCAGAACCAGTGTTATAGATCATAATACGTGAAAAACTACCATTGCCATGTCCAAGATATATACCTACGCCACCGGCATCAATGAGAGCGACGACAACATCTAGTATAGTGTCATTGTTGAAATCTGCTGCTGCAGCATATTGTGGACCGGAACCAAAGTCAGTTGAATAAATTTCTATGTCTCTGAAACTTCCATTGCCATATCCAAAAAGTATACCTACATTATTACCGATGATATTGGCCGTAACAAGATCCATGTAACTGTCATTATTAAGATCATAGACGGCAACCGAATATGGACCCGAAGATTTCCCTGTATAATACGTCTTAATATTATCAAAAGTTCCGTTTCCATATCCAAGAAATACGCCGACACTTTCCAAAGCATACCTAGTGACGACAATATCCAAGTAATTATCATTATTGAAGTCTCCAACGCTGATAGATGTTGGACGTGAAGCAAATCCAGTTGAATAAAATAAGGGTGATGGAAATGTCCCGTTGCCATATCCAAGAAGTACACCTATATTATTCAGACCCCAATTAGCGGTTGCAATATCGAGATAATTGTCATTATTAAAATCCCCAAGAGCAACTCCCTTGGGATGTGATCCAGTTACATTAGCGTAAATAGTTTGCGGCGCAAAAGTTCCATCACCATATCCAAGAAACACGCCAACACTTTGAGTGCCGAAATTGCAGACAACAATGTCAAGTCGCTTGTCATTATTCAAATCACCCATGGCGGCACTGGCTGGAGCCGAAAAATTATCCGTGTTGTACACTGTTTTATTTCCAAAAACTGAATAATTGAATCCCAACAGAAGGCCTATACTATCTGTTCCTTGATTAGTAATGACAAGATCTAATAAATTATCATTGTTAAAGTCACCACTTGCCAATGAGTTCGGCTGTGATCCAGAGCCAGTCCAAATCGTTGTGTCAATGGTAAAATTTCCATTTCCTAATCCTGCAAATATACTTATACGATCACCAATAGAGTCGGTAACAAACATATCCAGTCTATTGTCGTTGTCAAAGTCACTGAGAATCACGTCCTGTGGTCGAGAGTCGAGACCAATTGAATAGTTTATTTCGTTTGCAAAAGATCCATTACCATATCCTAGAACTACGCCTATATTTCCCTTTCCTGAATTGGTGACGACCATATCCAGATGAGTGTCATTATTCAAATCACCTACAGCGATCGAGAATGGATGTGAACCAGATCCCATTGAATATATTGTTTCGGTTTGAAAATCTGAATAATAATCTCCTAGTAGTAATGTAGGGATATCGTTCTGTTTTTCTACGACACCAGCCGAATTCCTTTGATAGTCATTCTGAACATCATGAGCGGTAGTTGAGTTTGCTTGGAAACTAGAGCCAGTTGAATAGATTGTTAGATTTGTACTAATTGTAGTCGGATGTCCAAGTAATACAGCGATGTTGCTTGTGCCACGGTTAACTGAAACAATATCCAGACGATGATCATTGTTGACGTCAGCAATGACAACTGAAGCGGGATGAGAAGTATCACCAGTTGGAAAAATTATTTGACTTCCGAAAATTCCATTACCGTATCCAAGCAAAACACCCACACTATTTAAACCCTCATTGGCAACAGCAATATCGAGACGGCCGTCATTATTCAAATCACCAAGCGTCAGTGCGAGTGGACTCGATCCCAAGCCAGTTGTGTACTTTATTTGTGATGCGAACGAACCATTCCCATAACCAAGAAAAACACCTACATTGTTCGCGTAGCTATTGGCGACGACGATATCAAGTAGATTATCATTGTTGAGATCACCAATGCAAACATACTCTGGAAATGAGGCATATCCAGTTGAATAAGTTGTTAAAGCTACAAATGTTCCGTTACCATGTCCAAGATAAATACCTACGTTATCTGTACCAGCATTCGCGACAGCAATATCTAGATTACTATCGTTGTTAAAATCATCTATGGCGACAGAGTACGGACGAGAACCATCACCAGTAGTAAAAGTGGTTACATTCCCAAAACTGCCATTTCCATGTCCGAGAACTATACTTAAAGTGTTCGGACCATAGTTGGCAAAAACAACATCTAAATGATTGTCCTTGTTGAAATCACCGACAGCGACCGCTATTGCACTAGAAGCTACACCGAGAAAATATGAGCGAATGTTTGCAAACGTTCCGTTACCATAGCCAAGTAGCACACCAAAATCGTCGCTGTGGAGATTAGCGACGACAATATCTAACAGGTTATCATTGTTGATGTCACCAATCGCAACTGTTGCCGGTGCTGATCCGTCTCCAGTTGAATATGTTACTTGTTTCGCAAAACTTCCGTTACCATATCCAAGGAATATACCTATGTTGTCAACTCCGAAGTTAACAACAGCGAGATCCAACTGGTTATCATTGTTGAAATCAGCGGTAACCATATAATATGAGTCGGCACCTACCCCGGTAGAGTATGTATTTGGAGTCTTGGATGGCTTTGTGGCATAGCCAGTAAGTAAAAGTATACTATTTGTTTCAGCATTAGCTACGACAATATCCGATTGGTTGTCTTTATCAAAATCACCAACGGCGATTCCAAATGGACTCGATTTAGAGCTGATTGAGTGTGTTGCTATTATTGCAAAAGTTCCATTTCCAAATCCAATAAATATACTTATATTGTAAGTACCTGTATTAGAGACGGCAATATCGAGTTGTTGATCATTGTTGAAATCCCCTAAAGCTACGTAAGATGGTCTAGAGCTAGCACCAATGAAATATGTTTCTTGTTTTTCAAAGCTTCCATTTCCATATCCAAGAAATACACCAACAGTGTCAGTACCCGAATTAGTGACAACAATGTCGAGTTGATTGTCATTGTTGAAATCACCAGCAACAACCGCATATGGATAAGATCCCAAACCAGTTGAAAAAGTCATGGGTGAAGCAAAAGTTCCATTTGCATATCCAATAAGTATACTAACTCCGTTAGTATCATAGTTGGTGACTGCAATATCTAGCTGTTGATCATTATTGAAGTCACCAATAGCGATAGAATACGGAATAGAATAAGGTAAGAAATACGTAACTGGAATTTCAAAAGATCCATTACCGTGTCCCAATAGTATACCTACATTGTTAGTGCCATAGTTGGCGACAGCAATATCCAAATGACCATCGTTATTGAAATCACCAATGGCGATCGATTTCGGACGAGAAGCACCAAGTGAAAGCACAGATTGGTTTGCAAAAGTGCCATCACTGTATCCCAAAAGTACGCTAATACTGTTAGTGCCGAAATTCCCAGCAATAATATCAAGCCGATAGTCGTTATTAAAATCCCCAAGCGCAACCGAAATGGGATGTGAACCAGAACCAGTTGAATATGTCTTCTGATTAGCAAAGGTTCCGTCTTCATAACCGAGGAATACACCGACGGTGTCCATGCCATTATTTGCTACAACAATATCCTGCCATGTATCGTTGTTTAAATCGCCAACAGATACAGCAAGTGGATATGGATAGTATCCAATTGAATGTCCGACTACTGGTATGAACGTTAATGAGCATGGTTTATCTAAGGAACACGATTAAAATAAGTCTGAGATTAGACAATAGTTTTTATATTTAACACGAATTGTAAATATAATTTTTATCGAAACCTTTGATTTTCTTTTGTAGAAAATCAATCAAATCAATGGATATGTAGTAAAATCCAATAAAAATCGAGTAAAAGTACAATGAGTATTATTAAAAAAAATATAGCGCTTCAGAACTGTATGAACATGTGTATAATTCGTTGTTTTTGTTGAAAAGTGTCGTAGTTCTACTATTCTACGGATTTGAATCGATGAATATTCACCTTTCATTATGTCAAATCAACTGACACTAATACTTTTGTTGATTTTACGACAGCTTTTGACTATTTGTCATATTCCACTATAATAGTCAATTGATAAGGCTACGGTAAACTTCATTAAAAATTGAAATCAAGTCGAATTTTTTTCGGCGCCCTTTTAAAGATTTCTATGGGTCTAAGGGATCTGAGGATCTGTTAGCCTACTTGTTCACGACTTAGAAGACAAAATACCTCTCTTTTTAGTGGAACATACACATATTGAATAATGATCCAGAAATACTGTATAAAGTAGACTGTCAAAGCACATAGTATCAATACATCTGTGAACACTGTGTCAACAGTTTATACCTCATATCAATAAGCTGTTACATTCTATACTGAAGCATCTTTTTCCATACGTTATCAGCTATGTATTATATAGTCATATACATCATACCTCGGTTAGGCTCTCAAATATAAGAATCCAACGTCTCAAACGATACACCAGTTGAACCGATCTCAGAAATGTAATATTTTCAATGCATTTTCTTAGGAGATAAGTACCATATGTGTGTGTAAGGGAAATAGAAATCTTTGAGAATATGTACGAGTTTGAGAAGATGTTCATCTAGTGATGTGTTCAAAGAATAGCGAAAAATTTATATCATCGCTCATACATTCTCTAATAATTACAATTATATTCTTAGCTGCAAATTATAGACATGCTCTTTTATACATAGGATTTTTAGTGAAATTATAATGGGAACATTTTTGTTTTCTCCTATACAAAAATGAAGAAAAAATCTTTGAATAATGGTTCCCCTTCTCAGTGATATAGAATTGGAACGGGTTGAAGAAGATCAGTAAATCTGTAGCTTGGAATACAGTCACAAGCCAGTTAACTGTTGTCTATCCCTCACCTCTCATATAGATCATATGTAACCAACAGCTGAATGAACATCCAAGTATAGCGAAATGTTGCCGTGGAAAACTGAAACTTCTAAGAATGATGGATAATTATAGTCTCTACAAATATTGAAAGTTTTATATCAAACAATCATTACTTTCCCTATCGAATAAGACTAATTGGACAATAGTGTCCGGCTACTTACTCTTGATTTCCAGATAATTGACAACAAAAGTCAATATCTCTATATCGGTCATTTTGAGTTAGGATAGAAATCCACATATAGAATTTGATACAACAACGTTTGCTGTACAAAATCTACTAAGCCACCAAGCTGTAAAATGTATTTTAAAACATGTTTTAGCGGCTGAGTTTCATGCACTGATATTTGTCATAGGCTACTAATAATAAGAATTTTCTTCCATAAGATAGTAAAAAAGTGGAGGTCATTAAAATTATTCAATTGTTACTTTTTTATATTTTTAATTAATTACAGTAATTTATAGTCAAACTTGAGCGCTCGGTTTCTCCCTAAAAGGATAGTATAGTAAGCCGAGTTTTTTAGTGTGGATGCAATTCATCGAGCTCTACAAGATTGAAGAACTTTCGATCGATTTATAGAATCCATGTGTTTTTCTGGAAGAAACTCCTTGAAGTAGGCCACAAATAAATCAATCTTACTTAGTTTTCAGTGACTTAAAGGTAAAGAAAATATTAAAATGAAAGCATACTTTGGTGTTTTGGTGAGGTCAAGCAAACTACTAGGACACCAACGGTTATCACTATGGTGGTAAATATGACAAAACTACCAGCAAGTATTTTTTGTTGCCGCATCGACAAGTGAAAGTTAGCCCTAAAATGTGTTCATGAATTGCGACTAGGAAGAAAACAACTTATATCGTTACTGTAAATTTGATTCATTAGCGATATTGGAACCATTTTTTGAGTTTACAACAACTGGAATCGCATTTGATAGTTCGGTGGATTGGACTAAATAGACCTGGCTATTTCTTAACAGCTCGCGCGAGATATTTTGCTCATCCATAGTAATCTATATTGATCTATGGAATTAATAACAAAGAAGAGAAAAATATTTTCTCCGAGAACATATGCATTTGGAAAAATTAAAAGTTTTCAAACTGCCTACCGTTGTTGCGATGATTGTACGTGAAGCAGTTATCTTTCGTATGAATGCTCTGAATATGATACAAAAGAGTCTCTATAATACAGACAAATTATTTTCGAATCTTGAATAAACGTATCAAATAGTTTTTTTTATACGCCAGCAGAGTCTGAAATTCTTCTTAGACAAAAAACAATGTTGCTGGATATATGACAACGCTGGGCTTTATTCTGATTCTATTTCAATATATACCAGAGAATAGTCCACAACTTGCTAAGTACTTTCATACATTTTTTGCAGACTTATGACGAAGCCAAAAACGTTTTCTGAAGTCAAATTTATGTTCTTTTCTGCAAGAAACTGTTGACGACGCAATAATGCTTTTGTGTCTGTCTGTCTATCCAACGAATCAGAAAGTAAAATCCATTAATAGAGAAAAGCCAATCGATGGTAACTAAAACGAAAACTAACAAAGAGAAAGCTGAGGTTGGCAGTTCGAATTAGAAGTCTATTCGTCCCGAAAATTCATTAGTGAACTAAGAACAGATGGATTGAGCTTCGAAGTGGTACATTCATTAAACGTCTGCACGTAAGGGAAGTGGAAATCTAGCATCTGTATGTTTTGAAATTCTACTTAAGGAAAAATGCTAAATGTAATCATATTTTGGAAGTGGAGGCTTACTAATTGTCTTGGAAATGAGAAAAGTAAATTTATTGCTAGTTTCCACCAAAAGAAGGCTTTTATTTATGCAGTGCTGTCTGACAAAGACGAACGTGAGTAACGGATCTCTTCTTTACTCGCAACATTTTTCTTCCGGACAATGTTTGACACCCAGTAGAAATCGTCAATCGAAGAAGCTTACATAATTTATGCAGATGTACTGATTACCTTCTATCAGATGATAGATTTGTGAGTCGAAGATTTTCTCTCTTTTTCATGAAGAGTGTGAAAAGGTGTCTTACTCACTTTAATCTAGACTCCATGCATCATGTTTCAAATTTCAGTCCAAGGAATTCTCATAATGTTACGAAATTGCTGTAGCTTATTTCAGCAAGAAGTATGTGAATCAATGCATTTATTTGCACTACCTTGTTTTCGATCTTGTGTAGAGTGTGCTTCAATGATTATATGTAGTAATTTCAAACTATTTAGGCCACGCATCTGTCACTTACTGTTAGCATTAGTAGTTGATGCTTCTTTCTTTGCTTCACAAAGTAGAGATAAACAATAATGCTTAATTGTATGTTTACTGAGAAAATGAGCACATTATTTGATGAGAGAAATTGACTCAATATGAGTTACATAAAAAATAGAGCTTATTCTTCTTATCAAGAATCCGTAAAAGGTTTTCATTGCTCTTGCTGCTTTCCGGAGATATTTTGAAGAATGTGTCAATGACAATGACAATTCTACGTCAATTTTGAACTTATTTCGAAAACATCTTTAGAAAGCTGCAAGGGTAACGAAAATCTTTTTGGGTATTCTGTACAAGAAAAGCTAGTTAATTTTTTTTGTACAATATCTATCGAATTAATTACTTTCATCAAATTATATCTATTTTCTCAGTCAACGTGCTATTGAGCATTAATTATCTATTTCTATTTTGTAGAACAAAGAAAAAAGCATTGACAATTAATGCGGACAGGGTGAAAAGCGCGTGCAATGTGACAAGTTTTAAATCACAAGAAATGCTTATTGATGCACAACCTGTATGAAGTCAAACATGAATTTGAGTGAGGGAAAATATTTCGGTCTCATTTAAAGTCGGTGAAAAAAGCATGGAAGTACGTAATAAGTTGTGAAATTTTCTCTGATACAAAATAATAATTCAAATTTAGTTTAACAAATTATAAAACACAATGATATCAAATTATTTTTCAAAATCTTTTCTCTTACCTACAGTCTGCTAAAAAAAAACACTTAGATTTGTTTATTAAACTATTTACAGCTGACTCATAGTTTTGTGATTATTTAATAAAAATGTATCCGTACTTTAAATATTAAGTAAATCGTAGTATTTCTTTCCAATATCAGTGTTACAACGGAGTTCAATTTAATTTATATTGATTATATAAATTACATTAATTTATCTCACACCTAGCGTATAACCTCAGAAACTGAAATAAAATCCCAAAATCATTCAATCTAAATGAATGTATTTCTCATATTGTTTCAGAAAATTGAATTTATCAATATACTATAAATTTTTATGAAACATAATAACGAGTCAACTTGATAACTCGCGCGTTGTTTTTGTTATATACACTTGTCTGTTAATGTTGCTTTCAACATGACTTTTAATTTCACAATGTTGTCAAGAAAATATGAAAAAAAAAATGGTTACATCTATCAAAGTAACATGCTCATTAATTTAAATGGGTAAGTTATATGAATCATAGTTTGGATAAACTAATGATCACAGTATAACATTAATAAATGATCTGTACAATCAAATAATAATATTGCATTTATTAAAATAAGAAATCTGCTCATATTTTTAATTTAACTTCGTTTGAATATTTCCAATAGATCAGACGAAGTTTCGTAGAAATAGAAAAGTCTATTGTAATAAGTAAT